AATATGTTAACGACTAATTAACGTGTATTTTAGTTAATCAATATTTTTATACAATATACGGTAATTAGAATGAGACATTTATTGCTGATGTCGACTAGTTTTTATTGCGCGTTTGAATATTACCATAATTATATGAAATACAGAATGTATAATTACGGCTCTTTAAAGTGGTCCAATTATTAAAGTTATTTAATCTTCTACAGACATTGCAAAGTTATCCAATTTCCAACAATAAATCTTATCTATTTAGTTTAACGAAGTCAATCTGTTTGCCGTTTATAACTCAAAATTTACGCTACATTTTTCACGAGGCATATCTCTAATAAATAAAAGAAATATTTTGACAGAGTGTGAACATTTTTCTGAAGGCGCGCCGTTTCTTTACAATCCATAATGCTTTACGTCGGCACGTATAGCGATTTTAACAATTAGTTCCCTTTTGCTGTTTCCTTCGATCGTTTTTTTCCTCGATTAGTCATCTTATGTCTGACCATCACGCAAGTATAAATACAGAGGCACGACTGAAACTCGTGGAAATGAACGATATATTTCTAGGCTGAGTAATTCTGTGTATTACCGTATGAATTGCAATTGCAACACACGCAAAAATAGAAGGGTTAGTATTTTGCATCTTATATATATCACACAATGGCATTGTGCATTTTTGCAGATATTTTTGCTTTCGCTGCATTTCGTTTTACTTAGCATTTTGTAACAACGAACGCAAACCAATCGATCCGTCCGCAGTAATTTTGAAGTTAAGAATAACAGCGATGAACCAAGCTGCTTGATGTGTTATCGCAGTTTTATTATTACAATATTTTAACCTTCCCACGCGGGCGAAATTAATTAATTTTTGCGCTGTTGGTTGCTCAGTGAATTTTGTGGTAAAACCGCTTATTCCGATAAAAGCCGTGTCGGATTTTACGCAAGAATCGATACGTACGCCTACCTATTTTGGAGGAAGTTGAATGCTAGCTTCGTGTTTCGCAACGCCCGCCCGCAGCAATCTGTTGCCGCGGTACTTCCGCAAAATACGTCGTCGCTTTTTTGTCGCTGAGAAACACGTCGTCGTGTCTCCGATAAGATTCACTACCTGAAAAGCACAATTCTGACATACGTACGATTGAAGAAACGAAGTTTGGAAGCTGTAGTATCTAGTACTATTGTGTTTGACTTCATTTCTTAGTTGAGCTTATTTTGTAGTTGTACCAATAATTTGTTTTGACAATAAACTGACTGCAATTATGTAAAATTGATATTTGTATATGAAATTTAATTAAATGTGAGTTTATGTATAATTAGATTAACGTAAAATATATAAATAATCTATATTACAGTGATATTTTTTATTACAAATATAAATCTCAAAAAAGGACTGATTTATTATTTGCACTAGATTTTATGACTGTATGGAGAAATCGTAATTGTTCCCAATAATTCTTTATTAAAATAATATTTAATTAAAAATATCATTATTATAATAATATTTAATTAAAAATATTATTATAGAGTAGTGAGAAATTCAATTAGTCGCGTTAATGGTAACAAAGTTACAGCTGTACGATTAAAAGCGTGACCCTCCGCAGAAGATTACGAGATTCCTGGGTGATAGTCTGCTACACGACTAATTTCGAACTCGTTAAACTCCACAGGCTCATCGGCTTTATCTCATCTTTAGCCCGTAATCATTGGAAGGAAATTGTGATACACACCGCCATCGGACATAAGTTGAAACAGCCCGTATAAAGCGTTCAATTAATTAATAAACACGATACCTCCAGCAATTAGTTGAGTTCCAATTTTACGATAATGATGCCAGTAGAAAAATGAAACAGCTTTTTCCATTTTCCATTTTCATTTTTTATGTACTTTCGGATCGACCGTAAAACTAACTGGAAATCAAGGTAACGGGGATAACATGAAGCGTCCGATTAATAAGCGCGATACATCCAACAGCTAGCTAGCTGAGCTCTAATTCAACGATAACGATGCCAGCAGAAAAAACGAGACGGTTTTTTTCATTTCCATTTTCATTTCTGTTTCACTTTTAGGTCGACACCAAAGCTAGCCGGCTAGAAATTCAGGTAAACGGGGATTACATAAATTGTCCAGTGACACAAAATCTCACGACGCGTCCGGAATAAATTGTAGAAAAAATATAACGCAAGCATGCATAAGAGAGAGCGTTGTTATACCTTTAATTATTTCGTTTTTAATTTTTCAATTATAATTGGTAGTTATAATTGAAACTGTCTGAGTGTGCAAATAGTTAATCTTTTTTTTTTTACAAATTTCGATGTTCTTTTAATTTTGACTGTAAAAATTTGCATTCGTTTCACAGATTTTGGATTTTTATGTAAAATGTTCGTGCCGTGAACAAAAATTGTGATTTATAAATCCGTGTGAAAAATTGCGTATCGTGACGACGATGATGCCGCAGTATGAATACGCCGCACGCAAGTTTATAGAGCTATATGCACTTTTTAACGTCGTTAGCATTATTATGCATGTCTCCGTAAAAAAAACACAAGCGTCGACGATTCTGATGACACGAATTAAACGCGATAGGAATTTATCTTCTGATAAAATGTCATCCTGTCGTCGCTCGGTGATCTCACTTCGCGATTGAGAACTTGGACGCCGTTAAATGAAGCTCGTTATTTTCATCACGCGGATCGATCTCTTTTTTTTTACGGCGACAAGCGCGCCTATTACGCCACTGTTCGCGTATTAAATGTTGACCGCATTTCCCGAACCTTTGCCTAACAAGGGAACCTCGCGAAGTGTCAAATTCTGATTTGAATGAAACTTGGTACACTTTGAGGTCACATAAATAGATGAATTTAGAAATTATCAGTTGGTGCTAAAAAACGGTTTAAGGGATGAATCCACCCCTTATATGTAAATTAATTCTTTTTTTCTTTCGTTATATCTCGAAAACTATTCAAGATATCAAAAAATGTTTTAATACAAAAGTTTTACTGTAAAATTACCTCTACTTATTTACGTTAATAGAATTTTTTTTTAAATGATTATTTTCAAATAATTTTAAAAATATAATTATTAAAGAAAATGTTATTAACGTAAATGAATAAAGACAATTTTACTGTAAAACTTTTGTATACATTTTTTGATATCTTGAGTAGTTTTCGAGATATAACGAAAGAAAAAAAGAATTAATTTACATATAAGGGGTGAATTCATCTCTTTAAACTGTTTTTTAGCACCAACTGATAACTTCTAAATTCATTTATTTATGTGACCTCAAAGTGTACCAAGTTTCATTAAAATCAGAATTTGACACTTCACGAGGTTCCCTTGTAAGTTACACTGTGTTTACGTATGCTACATTGATGATAATAATAATACGTTTCAGTTTTTAGAAAGAATTTTTTTATTTTATCTTTTAATTGTAATGACGACTAAATTAGAAAAGCATACTATTATGCTCGAATCTTCAATATATCTATATAATACACATATTTTTTGTTATTTAATTATCGAAATTGTTTCTATTATAAGTAAAAACTAGAATCGATTATAAAAAATTAGATAGATAGAAATTAAAGAAGCAATAAAAAATTAATTGAACTTTGATTTATAAAATTAATTTTCTCGCTTTATTTAAGACTTTAATAAATTTTTTATTCAAGACTTTAATAAGCTAGATAAAACTTTTTGTGATAATTACAAATTATCTTTGTTTTGCTGTCAGAAATTTTAACATTAAAAAAAATAAATTAGCAATTAGTATATAATACATCTCAAAGAATATAAGGATGGTATCTCGATACCTCGGGGTAACAGCGCCCGGGAGAAATTTTGGTCGGTTGGTTCCGACAGTCGTAGTCATACAGTTATCTAATATGCACATATTAGGCAGAACATGCATGCAGGAGCGACCGCAAACTGCCTGTTCGGCGGTCGTACCGATCCCGAAACTCCGTTCTCCAGAGAATCGTAACTGGCAAAATAAAACTCCTCGGTGAAATACGCGTTCGAGAACTTCTTAAATTTCCGCTCCGTTCGTCCTGCTTTGAATTCCCCAAGGTACGCGTCGCCTCTTTATTTTACTTCTGAAAATTGTACTGATACTATTTTATTTTGTTGAAAGAAATCATCGCGAGAATGTTACATGCGAAAAAAAGCTTAATCGATTATAGCAATTTTAACCGAAGGAAAGAATTAAGGGATCCCAAATGATGCAGAGGCAGGAAATCGAGTCCGATTCGTCGTCAAGGCAAATCGATATTTCAGCGAGGACCGTATCTGTTCGCGTGCCAATTCGTCGTAAAGGTCTTCGTTGAGTTTCAGATAAACTCGACAGCAGCTATCTTCCAATCACCGGAAAAATATTTTCTTCCATGCGTGCTTCAAGCGCAGGTATCCTCGTTGCTATGTCGACGTCGTCTCAAATAACGATGTGATCTACAAATAGTTTTAACAATATACGATAGCATGGACGGAATGATAAAAAAAAAACGAAAACAATTTTTTAACTAAAGTTACGCTGTATTTTCAACATCGCGAATTTTAAGATTAGCCTGTCAAAGCTTAGGTATTTGTAGTCTGTCGGATCAATTTTCTCTCTTTCTTCAGTAATGGATTTCGCAGAATTCAATTGCAAAATATTGCATGCAAAAAGTTTGCACATTCATCAGGCATCTGTGTGATAAACGAAGTTGGAAAAACGAAGTCTTCTGAGACGGGAATTGAAAAATTTCTTTTGAAAAATGACGACAAAAATGGAAATATATTGAAACATGTAATTTTGTTTCGATGTTGTTGAAATTTTATACTGTAAACTTTATTTGATAAACATGCCCAACTTTTTGCGCGCTAATGTAGTATTTCGCGTGGCACTGATTATAGGAATAAATTCTCATTGTATGTACAACATTAGATAAGATAGGCATTCTGCGTATTGCTTGTTTTTCTCTTTGCCACGCAGAGAGCGACTATAAAAGCTTGTAAAGTGCGGAGGTCTTTATCAGTCTAGAAAAATCCTTTCTAGTAGACTCGTGCATTCTGAGCATGTTTATCATCCTGTCGTGACCCAACCCATTCCATGTAACTTAAGTGTCCATGGGAACACCTCGAACATCTTATAACGATTAATCTTCTCAAGTTACGAGCAATAATGAGAGTGTAACGAGAGTATAAGGAGAGTGTAATGGCATTGCTAATCGCAGGTGAGATCGCCGCCCCCGCCGAGACAGAGCGTCGCCATCGAAAGAGACTATCAATGTTATGAGCTATAATTAAAAGTATTATTACCGCTTTTAAAATTATAATATTATTAAGGTTAAATGATAAGAGGAATAATGAGAATACACGTGCGGTATTCATGCACAATATTTTTCTTAGAATTATTTTACTTAAATGTTCGTGGACGTTTCGGCTCCATTTTGGGCCATCTTCAGCATACAATAATTCATAATTCATATTTTTAACAGAAATTTTTAAATTGTAATATAATAGAAGGATATGCTCTACATAATATTAAGCTGTTATTTTTTATACGAATTTTTCTAGCAAAAAGATTCGCATGCAACTCATTGTCAAATTTACGTTTCGGATCTGCTCTTTTTGCCACATTTCACGATCGCTAGTTACCTAAAGACAATTTCTTTTAGAAAGCGGAAAATTTTTAATAATTGTCATCCGTCCATGTCTCCAACCAACAGAATCCACTTAATACTTCAACTTGGCATATTTTTTGCATTAAATTAAGATAATTTTAAACAAAATATTTAAATGCTGAGCCTTAAATAAGACGATTATTATTTGTAACAATTGGTAACAATATGTTAGCAATTGCTTTTGCTTTGGAGAAAAAACAAAATGTTCACTCTCTATAATTAATGTTCTCGTCAAAATTGTATGATATTAACAAGATTAATTAATCTTGTTAACACTTTGATGAAATGATTAATTGTTGCGCTTTTCACGATAAGAAGAAAAATATCTGTGCTAAAGTATCGAGATTGCGAAAGCTGAAGAAAGCTTGCATCAGAGTAGGGAAATTCATTCAGGATCCATTCAATTTAGAAAATTAATTAAGTAACGACCACGAGAAACTTTATGAATACATAATGTTTGAAAAAAATCTGCGTATTATGTTCGAAATAAGCAAGTTAAAAGTGACGCAACAAAACTTTGTACTGTGGTACTTAAATTACACCTGCTTATATACTGTAATAATAATTCCTATTTTAAAATATCGACACTCGGAAAAGTAACATCTCTGCTGTTGTCATTCTCATTGTCAGTTCATTCAATCGAATGCGCGTCTTTCGGTTCGATTTTCGATAATGGAACCGATTAAGAGACACGCACAAACAGCTTAGTGTGTGCGTGCATGTGCCTTCGAATGGACGTTATACGTGTACAGGCCAGAAAGTAATGCAAAAAAAAAAAAGAAAAAGGAGGGTAGTCGACATTGGTAGCTGTGAGAGGTTTTACACGTGAGAGCATTGGCGGCGTGCCATAGAAACGGACTGACCCACTTTTAACGCGTAGATTGACCCGCCTGGCGCCATTTTAACTTCGAGCCGTCGAATAGTCGCCACCCTTGATCCCAGGTCTTTCCAGGTCGCCGCGCGAATGGATTGTTTAACCCTAAGAGAGAGGTGCCTGGCGTTTTCTGATAATTTTCAGCACGGTATTATTATATATAATTAGGGCGGTCTGCAGAGAAAAAAGGATGTACATGGGATCACCAGCTTAAAAGTTCACTAAAGCTCTCGCTCTTCGAAAATTCAGTGCGCTTATGGAAGAACTAATTATAGAAGAAATTAATCCGCGCAATCTTTAGTTAACTCGACGCTACACAAGGTCACGTTGAATCGTTTAAGTTGCAATACTGTAATTGATTAAATTACAGTCGGTGGAATTATCTCGGGAGAAATAGGTTTAACCGTTTACTCGATTGAGAAATGGGCACGAATCTATGCATTGCATATAAAAGAAACACGAAGGAAATCAATCTAAACGTCTGTGTAATTGAAGTCGGCACTGTGCACTAATCAAATTTCCGCGGTTGGCCAACTAGCAACCCGCGTGTAAACTTTCCAGAGGGTGTGTGCAGCCCGTGCAATGTAATCCTTGCTTCCAGCTCTATGCAATTTCCATGCGGTCCGAATCAATGACGCGTGGATATAAATATGGCACCAACAGCATTATTTCCCAAAAGATTACTATACTGTTATCAAAATTTAAAAGCAATTTACATTAAAAACAAAATGAAATATAACAATAAAAAATTTGTATATATACCACTGCAAGCACGAACGGAAAAGGAAAATGATGTAGTATAACGATGTTAATAGGCAGTATCTAATTGAAAACAATCTTGTTAATTTAATGATAGCATTAATAAAACAAATGCAATAAATGCTCTTGTTTTGATAAAATGTTATTTGTTTTATTAATATTCTTATTAAATGAGGAAGATTATTTTTAGTTAGACTGCAGTCGACTATTGGCTAATGTAGTACAACATTTTTTTTTTCTCATATATACATATGCTTTCTGGCGAGCAGTTTATATAACACGTTGACATGTATAAGCAATAAAATAACGAGTTCTTATTTGTTTTATAATTAGTAACCTGAAATCCAATTCATAACGCTCAATCTTATTTACACCGTTTGCTACACGTTTTGCTATATAATATTTTGTGATTGCATTTTTACGTGAAGGCGAAAAACACGCACTGTTTAACGTCGCTTGAGAAATTCATGACGGTGATGAGAGAGTTTGTCTTCTGGCGAGCTGGAATCATTTCATTTCTTTTAACGACCTCGAGGCTCATAAAACTTGCAGATATTTTTCCAAATCAGCACGTATTATGTAAGGCAAGAGAAGAGCCTTTTGTTGTACGTCGTAGGGTGGAACTTATAGATGGACCATTATTCATCGACAATACAGCAATCAGGTGTCCCTGAAAGAGGGACTAGTCAGCTCTTTTATAAGACATCATTAACATTCTACTAAAAATTGAGAAAGTATGTCGAATTTTTATGTGAAATTTGCAGTCGTTGTAATATTGTCAATTTTATTGCTCTTTTTTGGTTACACACTTTTTTCTGCATATTTGAACATGTGTGTGTATCGAGAAAATGTCTGTATATGGGTGCCAACCAAAAATTTGGTGCAATATATTCTCTGCACCAATATCTTTCAACTCTGTGCAATAAAGTTTTTGATAAATTTGAAATTCAAAATCTTGATTAAAAGAAGCAAAGGAAAAATTAAAAGTTTTTCTTTTTATATCAAATAACTGTAAAATTAAATTTAAAGGATTTATAAATCTCGTGTCAAATTTTAGAAAAAAAATATATAACTCTATTTATAATTTTATAAGCTATGTATTTTTGTTGTGTGTGTTTTAATATCATATTTTAAATATATACGTACTTGGATTCTTCAAACATTTATCGCGTATTGCACGATATATATAAATATAAATAGAATTTTATTCTGAATTCTGACAAATTGTTATAGATTATCTAAAGCGAGCTTAAACTGTAATAGATTCCAGGATAATATAAGGTCGATTTTTTTTTAACGAGACTATGTAATGCGAGATGCGATCATTAGCAGTTAGAAATGTTTAACATGTAATATAAATATCTTGTTCCTTTAACAATCGTATCTTTTCAGATCTATCCGGTAGGGGCAAGCAAAAATTTGGCGACGACTGTCGAGCGGATAAAGAGTGCGGATTTGCTGGCTCCTACTGCGAACCGAAGAAGAACAAGTGCGCCTGCAAGGAAGAATTTGAGGTCACGAACCATATCGACAAGTGCGGACACGGTAAGTTGGTATGCTTTCTGGCATTCTGCATGTACTGTTCTGCATGTGGTTTCTTTACGATCGTATGTAAAATATATGAGTATTTCCAAGGAAAATCTCAATTCACAGGGAGAAAATTGAAGTGACTTCTCTTTCATAAAATTTCTAAGCTGCGACATTATGAAATAGTGTCGCGTGTCAATATTATTAACGACAGCAATATGTATAGTTATTCGGAGGAAACTAACTCTAAAATTCTGTGTTAAGATATTGATGTAACCATAGTTTATTTGTAGTTTATTCATAGTTTATTCATAGTTTATTTATGCACAAAATAATAAGCAGATGAAAGAAATTTTACTCGGGAAAAGCGAACCAGCATATGTCAGTGCGATTAATTTCCATACGCGAATGCACTTGCTTGGCTAAATGGGCTGGTGCTATCTCGATCGAGAATAATTCTATTTCCTTCTCGGCCAAGTTGCCGTATCCATTAATTGCGATTTCGTACATGATATCACATGGTAAACCGTGCAAATCTCTTGCGATCAAGCACAAGTTGACCCGATTATCCTAATCGAGTAAACTGTAATGTTCAAGCTCAAGATTAATATACGCATGAGAAATTCGCTACGTTAATGAGTTGATAAATAATTAATGAAAATAAAAAGAAAAACTCTTTCACGCGTTTAGCAAAGAAAACTTTTAAAAATTATCTGATACAGTAAGTACAATAATAAGTGCAGTTTAGAATGTTAAAAAAATTCGATATTCAGCATACGCTAAACTCAAAAAAAGTTTTATCTATTGTTGTATAAGGTACATATAGTATATATAATTATACACACACAACAGTATATATTAGAGTATTTCTCCAAATATTGTTCTGCGGCACATTTAGAATTTTTCATTTACATTCCACCACTTACAGCGAATGTACTCTGAAAATTATTTTAGCGGCGAACGTGAACGAGTCCTGTTCCTTCACTGAGCAATGCGAAGCGCGGGTGAGCCAAACGGAATGTCGCGACGGTCGATGCATCTGCCTCTTCGAGAAAATCCCGATGACGCAGGCGGACGGTGTAATAACCTGCGTAGGTAAGGAGTTCGGAATTCTCAAGAAATGAGGACATGATAGCTTTAATGAAAATCCTGTCGTGCCGACACGACTTCGACAATTCTCGACGATTCGTCGAGAATTGAAAAGAGCTGAAATTAATGAAGCTTTCTCCACCTGTACGATTCCGATATCTCTCGCACGCCAAGAATATCTTCCTTACATGAGAACGCAGAAAGAAAGAAAAATGAGAAGTACGGAACGTTGCGGTTAATGATCATTTAAAGAGATATTTGCAGTTATTTACGTAACTCAAATTCTTTCAGCTAAAAATAAAGTAGCATGTTCATCACTTTTACCTTCTAACAATAGACATCAAATACTATTCAAATTTATTACTTTTTAAAATTATTAACAATAAAAGAGTGCTAAAATAACAGTGAACAAATGACAGCTATCGTAAATTATTAGTACACATATTTTTTAAATCTCAATATTCTTCTTCTTTTAAGGGGTTACTCCACTGTAACTTGTGAAAAAGAAGCGTATTTTTACGACTTTTTTTTCGGTGCAAGGAAGGGTAAGAAGATAATAATATTCAAGGATGTTTTTAAGCATGTATTGAAGTATTTAAACAAAAATTTTTGCAGCAAATAGTTGAAAAATAGCGGCGGTAGAGCAGTTTCCGCGAGCCTGGTTAAATTTGAGGTCCTCCGCGGCACGCAGTGTAAGTGTCGTAGGATTGAATCTGGAACAAATTAAAAAATTGTTTCTTAATCTACATGAATATTGCTAGAGAAATACGTAGGGGATTTTCGATACGTTGAATTTTAGATTTTATATGTACAATTTAATCTTCATTTTTTGGTCAAAAATTGGACTGTTAATTTCAAATGCTCGCCAATTACATAAAAATGAATATTTTCAAAATACTGTACGTATTTCTCTAGCTATATTCATGTAGATTAAGAAACAAT